CTGGGCCCGGGCGCGCGAGTAACGGAGCGCCCCGCGGCCGTCCGCCGCCTCCCCGGGGGCCGCCGCTGGGTGTGGATGGGCGTTCCCCGCTTCACCTGCCGCCCGGGACGGTGCCTGGGGACCGATCGCCGCCCTCGGCCACTTGTTGAGGGTGTAAGTGCGGCGCCGCTCTGACAGGTGATCCGGGTCGTGCTGGTGCCGAAGCAAAGCCGGTTAAAAGTTGTTTCGGGGTCCTTATTCCCTGCAGGCCTGGGACGTTCGAACTCCTCCCTCCCTGTGGATGATCTAAAAAGGCATGCTTCTTTGCAAAGACCAGTGTTGCAAAAAAGAAAACAAAAATGTGAGGATGAAGGTTGCTTTTTCCTTTTTTTTTTTCTTTCTTTCTTTCTTTCTTTTTTTTTTTTCCTATGCACGAGCCAGCCAGGGGGAACATTTTGGTCTCGTTTTTTTAAAAATCAGTGGTGGCGAAAGCACCGCGAGGAACAAGTTGTAAGTGGAGAATGCAGAACTCTCGATATCCCTTCGGTGTGGGTCAGGACAGTGTGTACAGAGGTTGGCCGCCATTCAGTAAATTCTGCATGAAGCAGACTGAGCTCGTGGTTTTGGATTTACTTTTCAGGAGTGTGTTTTCCAGTGGAATAAGGCTTAGCTTTGAGTGAGAGCTTTCTGTGCCTCGCTGAGGCTAGGAAGGAGTGTTTATTTTCATTGTCTTTGCATTTTGTGAAATTGTCGACCAGGGGAAAGTTAAGGCATATTGTGGTTAAGGATTTTTAATAGCCTGGGAGAGTTCTGTCTCCCTCCCTGTGTTAGGGTTGTTTCAGAGAATTGTAATAGCTTCTTCTCTTGGTGTTTGTGTCAAAATTCAAGGATTGATTTGAAAAAAAAAAAATTATTCTAGTGGGAAAGTTTTTTTTTTTTTTTTTTTTTATCATAGCTTCACTTACTATTTTTCTCTTGGTTCCTCCCCAGTTGACGTTCGACTGACAATCTCCGATTATGGCCCTGACCAATTGAGGGGTCCTATAGGATAATACAATTTTTAAAAATATTTTTAAAGGGAAGTTATTTGTGAGAAATGCTTGATTTAGTTTACTCAGCTTTTCTCTTCTAATGTAGCTTGTTTGACAGCCTCATTGGGTATGATTTATACTTTGACATGTTAGCTTAACAGAACAAAGTTAATAATTTTGCTTTAATTATGCTAATTTATTAATATTTAATTGAACTGTCATTTTACTTACCTAGCTAGAGTTAGCTAATTGTTGTGACTACTTGAGATGGTTAAAAACTAAGATTGTCTTTGTAAGTTATTTATCTAAAACAACAAGCTTATATATATATT